AAAAAAAAAAAAAAAAAAAAAAAAAAAATTAGAAAAAGACATAGGAGAAACAAACTATAAAACTTTTAGAAAAACGCAGCCTAGGCAGAGAGTTCTTAGGTGTGATATCAAAAGCACAATCCAGAGAAATTTTTAAAGCGGAATAAATTAGATTTCATCAAAATTAAAAACAATTGCTCAGTGAAAGACCCTGTTAAGAGGATGAAAAAACAAGCTACACACTGGGAGAAAATATTCACAAATTGCCTATCGGACAAAGGAATTGTATCTAGAATATATAAAGAACTCTTAAAACTCAACAGTATAAAAACAAAAAAATCTGATTAGAAAATGGGTAAAAATGGCCAGGCGCAGTGGCTCATGCCTATAATCCCAGCATTCTGGGAGGCCAAGGCAGGCAGATCACCTGAGATCAGGAGTTTCCAACCAGCCTGGCAACATGGTGAAACCTCGTCGCTACTTAAAAATACAAAATTAGCTCGGTGTAATCCCAGCTACTTGGGAGGCTGAGGCAGGAGAATCACTTAAACCCGGGAGGCAGAGGTTGCAATGAGCCGAGATGTGCCACTGCACTCCAGTCTGGCGACAAGAGCAAAACTCCGTCTCAAAAAAAAAAAAAGAAAAAGAAAATTGGTGAAAGATGTGGTGCAGCTGTGTCCCGTCGGGTGGCCCCACAGAGCCACCATAGCCGCCCGTCTTCCCCAACCCAAAGACTCAGCGGCGCCACCATGGCCCACGTGGAAGAAGGTGAGGAACCCTGCGCCCTGTCCTTTCACTCCCGGGGCGCAGGCTCCAGGTCCAGGTCGGGAGGCAGCAAGATGTTCTCTCTCAAGAAGTGGAACGCGGTGGCCATGTGGAGCTGGGACGTGGAGTTCCATAAGCGCACCATCTGCAGAGTCCAGGTGATGGATGCCTGTCTTAGATATCAAGCTGAAAACAAACAAGAAGACTGTGTTGTGGTCTGGGGAGAATATAATCATTCCTTCCACATCTGCTGCACGTCCCTGTGGGTGAAACAGAACAATTGCTGCCCTCTCTGCCAGCAAGACTGGGTGGTCCAAAGAATCGGTAAATGAGAGTGGTTAGAAGGCTTCTTAGTGCAGGTGTTCAGAGCCCTGGTGGATCTTGTTATCAAGTGCCCTACAAAGGCTAGAACACTCCAGGGAATTAATTCTTCAAATAGGAGTCGATGGATCTGTGGTCCTTTGGGACCCACCAAAGGCTTGGTTTAGCATTTTGTAGTTTTATTTTCAGAAATTCTCTGCAATTAATAAGATAATTTATTAAAGATGGTCCTTTCTACCTCTGTGGTGTGTGCTACAAAAAAAGGAGAGAACTCTAAATTGAATCACCTTTTTAATTTACCCATTTCTGTACAACAGGTTGTGGAAGCAGTTTAATTCAGAGGAGAACTTTTTGCATGCTTATGGTTGAGCAGTTAAAAAATAATGTTAGCTCTCTCAACACTGTTGCATTAAAAAAAAAAGTAACAAAGTCCAGTTTAACCCCCCCACACCAAAAAAAAAGAATGATATGAACAGACATTTTACCATAGAGGATATATGGATGGCGAATGATATTCAACATCATTAGCCATTATGGAAATACAAATGAAAACCATGATTCGTTTTCACTACATATGTATTAGAATGGCTGAAATAAAAAACAGTGACAATTTCAGCTGACTTTTGACACCACGGACCATTTATTTCCTTTCTAACATTCCCTTACATTTATTCA